GAGGTAACCCGCCTAGGTGGGGTAATTAACCCGCCTGTCCATATAATCTCTCATTTTAATTTAGTCACGTGATAAGTGGGGTGACCCGCCATATTTTACCTCACCTATCTGGGAGCAGGCCCTTAGTAAAAAAACTGAGTATTAGTAACCAGAGCTTCGCTTTTAACCGTGGCTGAGTCTTTATATTAGAGAATGCATTGTTTTCGAACGAACACGGGCGGATACAGAACCGATACCCACGCGCCGTCTTTAACCAAACATCTGGTGGATTAAGTTGCATTATTTGCATCATACGTGTATAGCTGTCGATTTGCCCGCTGGAAATTTCTATCGCCTGCCGCTGAGAAAAAATAATAACGCCGCACTGTTTATTGTCTATTTGCAGCAAATAATTCAGAAGCCTTCATCGGCGCATAATAAATCTTTCTCCTGAAAAGTAGAATTCCTAAGCTTAAAAAAGAGACCAATTATAAACCTATGTGTTGTATATTCACGGACTTGAATAATATATAGATTAACCCATGGCTAAAAGCGAAGATCTCGTTAACTAAACACTTATAAACAAAAGAATAAAATCGTGTAAAGTCAAACGGCGACAGCAATGAGAACGGCGAAAAATTAATAGTCAAAGATCTAATTAGAAAGAAAAAACAAATTCGCACATGCTGCACACTTTTTTGTACATTTCTTTGCCGTTGTTTTGTACAACTACAATGCCGTTTTACACGACTAAAACGTAAAGGTCGGTACACACTAGGCGACAAGTTGCAGCAACATGTCGCGGCGACACGTTGCAGCGACAAATCGCTTCGTGTGTACTGGAGAATTTTTGTGAAAATCTTTGTCGCTGCAACAGAATTTGTCGCCGCAACAAGTCGCACAGATTCAGTCTGATTTGATTTTTTGCGACTTGTTGCAGCGACAAAATTCTGTTGCGGAGACAAAGATTTTCACAAAAATTCTCCAGTACACACGAAGCGATTTGTCGCTGCGACGTGTCGCCTCACCTTGTTGCTGCAACTAGTCGCCCGACCTGTACATATGGAGTGATCTGTCGCCGCGACGTGTTGCAGCAACTTGTCGCCTAGTGTGTACCGACCTTAAAACTTCCTAGTTACACGTTATCTCTTATGGAGCTCAACTATGATTTTTCGAGGCTTTCAAGTTCGCCTATAAGACAACTACATTTTACCCAAAATGTTCTGTGCGCAACATCGGACAAAACAAGAGCTTCAATATAAAATATGCTGTGTAAAGTTGCGATTTCAAAATTCTTTGTGCAGTAGAACAGTTAAGTTGGTCTTTGAAATGTTTATCAAATTGACAATCGATCGAGAATTCCGCGCACTGAAAACTTTTATTAGAGCTTAAATTTTGCCTTAAGTTCAGAAGTTTTCGACAAAATACCTGTTACAAAGTAGAATCCTTCGTGATGTACTCTTTGGTGTGTCTAGGATTTCTAAAGCGTCTTTAAATGCCGTGGTATCTTCACTCATAACATATTAAAACTTTGATGTCATCTTGGCACCGGAGACGAACGGATCGTTGCCATGGCAATGTGGTACTTTCACATGTGAAATTTTGAATCAACAATGAAATTTCGCTCGAAAATTAAGGAGTAATCCGTCACCCATGATATTTTGTCTGAAATTCACGGGGGAAACTTGGGTATTTTTTGGGTGTGTTTGTGCCGCCCGTGACTCCAAATTGGCACCCCGTTCTAAAAACATTTTCCCTAAAACTGATACCCCGTTCTAGAAATGGGCCATTTTTTTATACTCCGTTCTACAAAGTTTGTAAATTGAAATAGCCCTGTTTTTTTAAAAAGATATTTCTTTATTTGTTCGACTTATACATCAAATTAATGCTTCTTCATAATCAGCGACAATTTTAAGCAGAAGATAAAGCTGTGATCCACAATTTTTTACACACCGTTCTAGAAAACGCCTCTGAAATGGATACCCCGTTCTAAATCAGGAGCTTCAAAATCACGACCCGTTGGGCGGCACATACCCGTATAGGTAATGTACTGGAGTACACCCACCCCCCCCGGGGAATTCAGGCGAGTTCTGCCGGTAAAAATGGAAATTTAGGTGTCACGAAACCGAGACTACAATGGGCCTTATTCACACGGCGGCCATATTGTCGCGAGAGACTGAAAAAGCTTTGTCTTACCACTTTCGACCTTGCAATGAAAAACTTAGGAGCGAAGCTATAGACGGGTTAAACAAAGCTACTTTAGTCTCTCGGGGAAAAATGCCTGCCGTGTGATAAAGGCCCATTACATTGAAACTATTCACAACACACATAATGATATGCGAAGTTGAAATGCACCTAATTAACAGGTTTAAAGTAGCAGTCAAACGGGTTCACGTGCGATTGGGTAATTCCTGATGATAAATACTGATTTGGTGTGGAAATCATTGATTATTTTTCAGTTTTCACCGGAGCCACGCATGGGTTTAACGGCCCACCTTCCCACCCAGAAAATCGCGTGGATCATATTAATAACTACTCCTTACTTCCTCATTCATTTTCCCATACCTTATTAATATAAGTTAGCATGAATATGAACGTTGTTGAATAGATTACTATATAATTTCTGTAAGAAAGCGGGTACTTTTTAGAAAGAAAGATTAAATTGTTCCAATCCAGAAGACGATTCTCAAAATCAGATTGGAATATGCTGTCCATGGTAGTTAAATAGCGAGCACTTCCATCTGCATGTTGCGCCTAATTGTCACTGCCTGGGCGTCTAAGTATCATAACCTACCGTAAACAGCGCTGTTTAGGGTTCCAAGACTTATTCTGATTATTCTACTCCTTTTTATCCTCGCCAAACTATGTTTTCAAGTTCCTCTTTAGCTTATTCTTGATTCAGTAACTTGTTCTTAGAACAAAGCTGTAGTACTTATCCGTTTCAAATATTGACAGAAGAATCCTAAGCAAAAAAGAAAAAACAGTTGTAGTCAGTTCTTGGTCTGCAGGCACGGTGACAAGACGGCCATGTTGGTATTCAATACAATGAATTTTTTGTAGAATTTACATGAAAATGCAGCCTCGTTCCCAGTCGTCCTCGGCGATTTCGGATGTGACGTCACCCGTCAAATGAAAATGGAGTAAGTTTATCCCGGAGGAGAAAAAATGCTTGTCTTGCTGATCACCAACATAGCGTCGTGACGTCACCTGCAAACCAGCGATTATAGCAGTTTAAATTGAATTAATAAAAACGCAATAACTGCACTTTCTCGGCCGTACCTTAAAAATAACAGTTATACAAAAGCAAATTAATTTTACCGGGGTGAAAACAAAAGTTTTTGACGCCTTTATTTTAATGTGAAAATCTAACCGTATTTAAAGCAACAGAATTTTGAAGCCAATTGGCACGAGCTGTGGGTTTAAAAGTCTCCAATAATAAACAACAGGCTATTTGCACGATACTGGCTTTTTAAGGCCAAAATTCGTTTCGTTTTTTTCTTTCATATCCAAAGTACTAGTTGGTAATCATAGCGAGGTGTGATTAACAAAAGCTCAAATTTGCACGACAATGCTGAATGCAGCTGGTTAATTCAGGCCCCGTCCACACGTATCCGGAGATTTTTGTATCCGCAAATTTTTTTATGCGGATACACCTAGCGTCCACACGTGTCCGCCGTATACGCTCGGTGTATCCGGAGATTTCTGTATACGCTCTCGAGAGTGGAAATTTCTGTATACGCTGTGTATCCGGATACGTGTGGACGCTCGTATCCGTAGATTTTTGTATACGCTGACGTCACAGTATCAGAACCAGTCTTTTTCCGCGCGAGATTTTCCATGCTCTGTTGACTAATCCTTTGAGATGTCCGGATACGAATCGGATACGTGTGGACGGTCGTATACGATTCGTATGCGCTACGTGTGGACGCAGATATTTTTGTATCCGCATAAAAAAATTTGCGGATACAAAAATCTCCGGATACGTGTGGACGGGGCCTCAAACTTTGTAACTAAAGATATTATTATAAGTTAAGATCTGATTTTGTTAAATAAACCAGGATAAAAAGAATGCCGGCCAGCATTCAAAGGATGGGCACTTTTGTGCGCTGAACCTCACGTGCTCAGTATAAAAGGACAAGCACGTGGCTTCTTTTGGAGAAATTTAAGACATCAGAAATCCTTCGGCAAAAAAGAAGAGAACAAAGAAAAATATTTGTACATCGAATAATTAAAAACTGAAAACGCTAGCTTGAGTACGTTATACATCTAACTGCCAGTTAGCGGAGCAGATGAAATATTTTATTATACTGTACATTTATAAAACGCTGGAAAATACGTATTGTTCACTTTGTAACAGTATTGCGCTACAACCTATTGTAGTAGTTAAAAGTCCTAACTTAATTAATTGCTTCTAGGCCTCTTGATATGGCATCCCATTTTAAATATCACCTGCTACGCAATTTAAACATATTATCCGAGCTTTTTACTAATGGTTTAGCGGAAAAAGCATATGACTTTGAGACAGTTATTTTAGCAGTTGTCAGAAAATGTAAATAGAACAAAATATCTCTCATATCTTTATCTGAAATAGAGGGCTTTAAATTTGTTATTCTAGGTACGAGTTTTTGTTTATCTCATATTTTTAATTTTCTAATAGACGATGTTATGTAATTTCTTTTATTGGAAGAAAGATCGCGCGGTATCACTGATTTATGATGCGCCTTAAATAATTGGAGTCTGCTTCAGATGTCTTAATCCATAAACAATAATGGGTAAATTGTGAATAGCTAATTTTGCTTAACCACAAGTGCTGGTGACCAAAAATTGAAAACTGAAAAGTGAGCATTTCCACTAAAAGTTTAGTATTAACAGATGCAGAGCCTGTGGAAAGGTTCCCGATCTTCGTTGAGGGGTAGTACGAGAAAACACGAGAGAGCGCAAGGCAACAGTTTAATGCCGTTTACGTATCATGCCAGAAAATGTTTCCTATAATCAGAATAACTGCCGCTGAATGAGTAAACATGAACTCCTCGGCGAAAAGTTGTTCCAATCGCTTTTCTCGGAACGAGGCACTTATGATTGTGCGGATAAGTGCACATGCAATTCTGGCAGTTGCAGCCATTTTTGGCAGCTACCTCGTGATTAGAGACTTTCAAAAATTTGAAAATCTTCAAAGGGCGTCCAACATAATCCTGGTGAGTTTGTCTGTCGCTGACTGCCTACTAGCTATTCCGTTCATTTTGGACATCACGCACATGTTTCTGAAACTAAGTTCAAGTGTGAAACAGAGTCAACAAGCTTTGTGTATATGGAGCGCAAGTTAAACCTTCCTTCTTATTTCGGTTATCATTCTTCACCTGGCGTTAATCAGCATGGAGCGTTTCATCGCCGTAAAATTCGCTTTGAGATACCATATCATAGTGACCAATCGCCGGGCAGCGATCGCTTCCATGGCGATGTGGTTGTGGACTTCACTCGTTATGGTTGTTTTGCCACAGACTCTTCAAACCAATAGCAGGAGCGACTTTGAACGATTTCGCCAAGCGATTCATCCGTGTCTTAGTACTCGAGAAGCATGGCCAGACCGGGATCTGCCATTGGAAACTAAAGTGTACCTCATCTTCGTGGTGATATCTCTGTTAGTCATCCCATTGTTAATCATCCTATCTTCGTACTCCTATATCTTTATAGTGTCCCACAAGCACAGACGACACATCGCAGGGCGGGGTGACTTCCCAGGAATGACCACCATCAGGCATCAACTAAAAGGCGCCCTAACCCTCGCCTTCGTGGTATCAGTATGCCTACTCAGTATCACCCCTTTACTGGTCGTGACATGTCTCCGATTTTTCAGGGAGCTTCCCGACTGTCGCCATTCAAGACCGAAGCATCTAAATTTCATCGCCTACGTTGTTGCAACTGGTTTAAACGCCATTTGCAATCCTCTTATATACGGATGGAGAAATGGAAGATTTAGGAGTGCCTTTCGCAAACTCCTGGGGTGCGATCAGCAACCCGGTTAAGACAAAAGATAGTTTTCATGACAAGCTTGCTTAGGTAAATTAAATACCTTAAACTAGCTGTAAGAATGTCAACCTAGAGTCGTCGTTTTTTTCTCGCACAAGAACGCTTTCTATGCTGTTAGAGGAGAAAGATGGCAAAAAAAATTTCGTTCGGAAATCCTTTAAAAGCACTCTTTATAGTACAAATAAATGCTGTAGTCCAAATTTATCTTTACTTAGCTTTAATTTGTCTATGATAATAGACTTGAAAGAAAGGAAAATATTAAGGTGGCTCGACCCAGTGTTTTTCTAGGTACACCTTCCATCTTTGAATCCCTCACACTTAAACAAATTGATCTTTTTTGTAAAAATATTATAACACGCGTATTACGGCATTATTATGATATTATTGTTTGGGCAGTCGGAATAAATATCACGTGACATTGACGTCGCAATAGTTTTAACTCTAAATCGAATTTCTGACCTTATCGGCATTTTCTTTGGAAATGCTTTAAGCTACCTATACTTTGGGTGCTTGTCCTCTCTGTTGTGCGAAGTTTCACAAAAATCTATTAGAGGAATTTCAATATATCTTGGAATTTCCACAAAAAGGGTATAAATTACGCATGAACTGAAGGTGGGACTTAACGCAGACAAATTTGCCACCTTTCGGAGCTCCCCGAAAAGTTTTTATCACTGCACTCATTCGATTTGCAAATGACCTTTATACACTCTACAACCAGCTAAACGCAATTAGTAGATTTCGAAAAACGAACATGAAAACATGTGAATCAGTGAAACGTAATGCTGAGCTCTTTTTGTAATTTCTAAAGCCTGGTTTCCATATGATCGTCCGGATCGTCCCGATTGTCCCAGTCGACTTAAATAATAGAGACCTTAAGCACCAGAACGGGAGACACGAGGACGGCGTACTGGAAGTCCATTATCTGGTTCAGTCATGCGCAGAACGAAAGAAGTTGTCTGCAATCTCCCGTCGTCCTCACCTCGACAACGCCGGCCATTTCCACTGTTTTCACGTTGTGCAGGCAACGTCGCTTCCCATGCCAAACGTAAAGAATCATCTTTCTGGTGTTCAGTGTTAAAGTATTTTAGACGACATTTTAAGATAAACGTCGTCCCTGAAGCAGAAGAAAGCCTGAAGCTTAAATAAACCGTCTCGGTAAGCTAAGATCCCTAATGTTTATATTTTCTATTCCGATTACTCTTTTCTTTGCAGAGTAAATGCGGTATTCTTTACAACAGATGACGTGAAAGCAAAATCTGTCATAGGAATAATTCTTTGTTTAAATCATTTGTTTTCATTTTCCCGAGAAACATGTGGATAAACAAACACAGGAAAATTATTACGCTTTTCAGTAATCATTTGTCCTCTACCGTCAGAATAAATGTCAAGGGTGTTTAGTTTACTAAAGAGAACAATGAGAAGAAACTTGCAGAGTCACGGTGGGGCAAACCACCCCCAAATGACTTATAAAAACGTGACAATTTGTAATAATTTAAAATAACTTTGCTTGCTTTCACTCTTTCCCAACCAAACTTGGCCTGAAAATAAGAAACATCAGGCCAATCAAAATCGCTCACAGGATGACACCAAATATCAAATTATGACGTCATATTTGCTGACGTCTTTCATACGTAAATTTTAAACTTTTGAATCTCCCAAATTTTTATATCGTTTTTGAAAGAACTATTCAAGGGAAGTTGAAAGCTGAAAAAATGTTTTCAGTATCTCAAATATGAGCTGAGATATGATATTTTGAATTTGGATAAATTTGGAGCACAAAAACGGGGTACCCCCCTTTTAAAATAAGTCTTAATTTCAGAGTTTTATTGTCGAGTGACCCTTGCTGTTTAAGTTACACATAACACATCTCTACTATCGAAAGCTAAAGGAAAAAGAACAATTTGAAAAAAGAAATTCCTAACTGCGCAAAAACCCGAAAAACAGTTTTGTGACGTCATAAAATGTCACGTGATCATTTTTTTGGTTTGCTTGAATTAATGTTTTTGAGTCAAAAAACAAAAATCTAAAACGATACGATTTTGGCTAACTATAAAAGGTAAGTACTGTCACCGGAAAATCAGCTTATTTTGCCAAAAACTGTGAAAAAAATATCAGAAGAATCGTTTTTTAAGGAAAAGTATGGTTTCGGGGCATGAAATCAAATTTCTTTGAAGTCTTATAACTCGGGTTGTACGTATCGTAGCCAGAAACGGTTTTCACTGTTTTACTCCTCTTCTAAAGCCCTTTCAAATGATTTAAGTTTGACTTTAAAATTATAAACTGCATTTAACCCATTTTGGTGACGTCAGCCTTTGTGAGGTCACAATTTAACATTTGGCGTCAAACAAAAACTTAATGCCATTTGGTCAGCAATCGTAGTCTATCTGGCATGTTTGGTCGAGAAATGAAAAGAAATGTAAAAAATACATAAATTTAGCCTTAATAAGCCCTTTGGGGGGTGGCTTTCAAGCAAATTTTCGTTGATATACAAAGCATATTAATGCTTTCAAAGGACATGCATGATTTTTAAATGCTCTTTGCTTTAAAATCAATTCTAAATGCAACGAGTATCGTCTCCTTCTCGTCGTAACTGCTCTAGCATTTCTCTAGTCGTAAACCTGTTTTGTCTTGCTTTTATTTTACTTTTTTACCTTTTGCTTTGCTTGTGTAATTAGTTCTATTTTATCTGCGTCTACAAAAGACGCCATTTTCTCATTTTCATGTTTTGGCTGGAAGTTTCCGTCGCGATGTTGCCTAACATGTTCAAGCAGGGCGTAATAAGCTAGGGCTTTGACACGCTCGTTCAGCTGTGATGCGGAGGAGGACTGGAACTAGTTGGTTTGGAACTATTCCGCTCTCGATCCGATGTTAGGGCAAAAAAAATGGCGCCGTTTAGCTGGAGGTAGTTTCGGATTTATTGCATTATATCTTTAGATCGCTGCAATCTATAATTAGATTTTATTTGGCGTATTTCTATGCGATATAGAGAAAATATTTAGGTGATATTTTATAGTTCATCTTATAAGTTAAGATGTTTTTTCCCCTTTTATGTTTATGTAGTGTCAAAATGGCCTACCGAATATTAAAAGGTTGAAGGTCGCGTTTTATCTTGCCAGTCAAAACCGAATGATAATAAACGGCTACAAAAGAAATGTTTCATGGTTTTATAAATTTTGTTTATGCATGCAAATTTTTAGACTGAACTTTTATGAACCTTTGAGGTTTTTTTACTTCTGAAGTGACGACTTCGTAATGGCCATAGCAACCCTGGGTTTTGTTTTGCACGTTGGCGTTTAGCTTGTTAGTAAAACAAAAGATTGCATTTGCCCAATTGAGCGATTTAATATACACTAAGATGGTAAATATTGTTTTTTAGTCACAGAACCGCGATCCAAGAAGGTTCTGACTATTTTCAAAGTTCTACTACAAAATTGCATTCGAATGATCTCGTGTGACAACAAATTCTGCTTCACTGTGGTATAAAACTAAAGGTTGTATTGCACAGAAACAGAATGAGGCCTATGGAGAAATTTGCTTTCAAACCCTCTCAAAGAAACAACTGTAAAATGAAATCATAGAATGTGTTTGTTATTATGATTTTTTGCAGGACAACAGTGATTGCCAGGCCTGACTACTAGAACACACACTGAAAGATAAACGAGTTCATAATACCGTGAATATGAAGAAGAAGAATATGAAAAGGTCTTCATTTGATTGCAAATAGAATGAATTAAGACTGTGTAACATTGTATTTTTGTCTTCAGAGGCTTAAGTGTGGTGTTGTACGAGCTACAGTCAGCTCTCAGATGGAAACTATTGGGACTGGCACAAAATGTCTGTATATAGAGAGTAAGAGAAAATGACTGAAGAATTATAGGGACCAACTCGATTTCCTGGAGGTGCCTTATCTTTTGATTGTACTTTTACTGTGTAATATTTCTAGCATTATATCTTCTCTCTTAATATCAATTATATATTGTAGACAAGGAAAAAGGAAAGTATTTTTTGAATCAAATTTGATTAAGCCTGACTGCAGTTAATAAGTTTAACCAATAATGAAAGTGAATCATACTGGACATGAAGTATACCAGTGTGCTAGGGTTGCTGGTCACACTAAAAAGTTTGTTTCCAATGGTTTAATAGCTGTTACAGGCCATTTGTATTTCATTTGTGCATAATTCTGTATAATTTTCTTGTTTGCAATATACTTTTGAATTTGTATGTTATATAAATCTTTTGTTATATCAGTAAGATATATATATATATATATATAGCAATGTCTGGTTTCAATGTAAGATTAGTGAATGTTTAGTTTCTTTTAAGTTCCTTAGTATGTATTGCATGGGTAGTTTTCAGTGACCATTTCATTGCAAAAAGCTGTTATAATCAAACATAAATATTTGCTGGGCTACTTCTTTGTGTTCTTGCGACCTCTTTGTTAGTTTTTCAAGGGCAGTGAATTATATTTTTGTCACATACTTATTCTTCATTGCACAGTAGTATTAGTGTACAAGATAAAAAATAATGATGATTTTACTATATTTTATATTTACCCGGACTTTAGTTTTCACAATCTGTCCAACTGTAGTGCTCAATATTGGAGATAGCTCAACAAGGTGTTTAGAGAAGAATATTGATGTATACCAACAAATCCAAACTTTAATAGTTAAAACAGATCATCTGGTCTTGAAACTGGGCCGCAAAAAATAAATCCCATAGCAGTTGATGAATTACACAACTTAATATTAAACTGAAGTGGAGTACCGATAATATTGTTTTAAAAATGATGTCAGTGCTATCATCTGACTCGGTTGTGATGCCATTTTCTTACCACGTCACGAAATGTTAATACCGAGGCCACAGAGGTGGAACTATATTCAATACAGATATTTGTTCGCGGGGGAAAAATTGAACAAAACAGAAAACGAACGTGAGAAAAAGTAGTTTGCTCCCTCGCTATTGCTTGCAGCAAATGAATGCGACGGGATAATGGCTA